TGGAAGTGGTGTGTTTAAAAAATAAAGAATGAGGGGCACCTGGGTGGCCCAGTCCGTTAAGCATCTGACTTCGGCTCAGGTCATGGTCTCGCAGTTCATGAGTTCATGGTCTCGCAGGTCATGGTCTGTGCTGACAGCTCAGAGCCTGGAGCCCGCTTCCGATTCTGTGTCTCCCTCTCCTTTTACCCCTCCCCCATTCACACTCCGTTTCTCTCTCTCTCTCTCAAAAATAAATAAACATTTAAAAAAAAGAGAAAAATAAAAAAGAATAGGGACTGATGGGAACGTAACAAAAAATGAGGAAGACAATTCAAGATAAGATTGGAGAGGTAAGCAAGGGCCATAATATGTAAGGGCTGGGTAGGCCATGGTCAAGAGTATGGATTTCTCTTCACATATGGAGAAATATTTTTCTAGAAAATTCATAATAAGACTGACTATACTATTGTATTCACTCACCATCAACTGCCAAGAAACAAGCAAATGAAGTTTTTTTCAACTGTTGTTTTCACAATTTATTTCAACCATATGGTTGCTGAGCACTAAGGAAATTTTCTTTTTTAAAAAATTTTTGAAATTTTTAAAATTTTGTTTATTTACACATTTATTTTTTAATTTAGATCCAAGTTAGTTAGCAGATAGTGCAAAAATGATTTTAGGAGTAGAACCCAGTGATTCATCCCCCATGTATAACACCCCGTGCTCATCTCAACAAGTGCCCTCCTTAATGCCCCTGACCCGTTTAGCCCATCCCCCCTTCCACAACCCCTCCAGAAACCCTCAGTTTGTTCTCTGTATTTAAGAGTCTCTTATGCTTTGTCCCCCTGCCTGTTTTTATATTATTTTTGCTTCCCTTCCCTTATGTTTTGTCTCTTAAACTCCTCATATGAGTGAAGTCATGACATTTGTCTTTCTCTGACTAAAGAAATTTTCTTTTTCTTCTTTCTTTTTGAAATGAGGCTACAGTTCCATCACGTTCATGGCAAAAGAAAAGAGAATCCTTGATGAAGGAATCAAGGGAATTCAGTGTCAGATCCAAAGATCTTATCCTCTTTCTTGTGCTGATCCACTTGAGGTGGAACCTGAAAGCGTACGATCGCTCAAGGCACGGGCCACCACACGGAGCAGGCAGGACGGGCGCTGCAGGCTTGAGGCGAAATGGTCTCTATTCCAGCCAGCTTGTGTTGCAACTCCTGCGTTATTTCAAGACGCTTTTAAACTGTTCGTGTTCTTCCCTCCCATTTTGGTATATACACATACAGACATATATATATATATACACATACACACACACACACACACACACACACACACACACACACACACACATATATATATATATGCAGGTGTTCCCTTCTATCTTTTGCTCTTTATTAATCTTACCTCTGATGCCACTCCCTAATCAAGGTGCGCATTATCCATCGATACAAGTGCAGGCTTCTTCTAAAGGTGCTTGGTTAGGGGTTTGCCAGCTGACGTAAAATGAACCATTTACATCAATTCAAGGGATACCTAAAGCCGAAAGTCATGGAGGAGCATTTGCTAGTTAGGGCAAGAGTCACGGTGCAACTATTTCACGCAAAGGCTTTAAGGAACCCACTTTCCAGTGTCGCTCTTGCTGTAACGCACAATTGCCCCAAGTAATACAGGAAATCAAAAATTGCCAAAAGGAATAAAGCCAAAACCTAGTGCACCGGCTACCCAGACGGAATGCTCTGTGGTACTGCCCGCCTACATTTAGCCTGGCTGCTTACTGAAATACTCCACTAAAATGCAGTTCTTAAACACATAGAAAGATAGTGTTTTTTTTTCTATTACAAAACATTTAAGTCCATAACATTGAGGTGTCTTAAAAATGGTGACGTCTTTTTTTTTTATTCAAAATACCAAAATACTGCATATATATTCTGAGTCAAGTGAGTTTCTGGTCTTGTGAACAATTATATCACAATGTGTTGTCTCCTCAAGTCAGTGTGTAGACAGATTGTGTGCTAAAATCTTGTCTTCATCTCACAGTTGCTCTTCCTTTCCCACACTGTATCAATCAATAATCCTTGCTTGTTATTGCTTGTCCTACCTCAAAATCTCTAATCAAATCCCTCCACCTCCACCGCCTTGATTCGAGCTCTTATCTCCCATACAAACTATTCCAAGAGCCTCCAGCCAAAAACTCCTAGTGATTGTCCTGAGCAGGCTCAAATATCACCTCCCCTGTGAAGATTCCCCAGCTCTCCATCCATGATGAAACAACTCCACTTGCTTTGCCCCGGTAACCTTTGGTACACACCGCTCCTACAACACAGATTTCTCCCTCCTGCAGTGCTGTCAAAAATATGCAAGCCATGTGTGCAAATTTAAGTGTGCTAGTAGCCTCATTAAAAAGGTAAAAAGAAATTGATGCATTTTAATAATCCATTTTATTTAACCTGGTATATCCAAAATATTATCACTTCCACATGTAATCAATATAAAGCATACAATATTCTATAATTTTTCATTTTAATTCTTCAAAATCCAATGTGTGTCTTACATTTATAGCATTTAAGAAAATTGTTTTTAACGTTTATTTATTTTTGAGACACAGAGAGACAGAGCATGAACGGGGGGAGGGTCAGAGAGAGAGGGAGACACAGACTCTGAAACAGGCTCCAGGCTCTGAGCTGTCAGCACAGAGCCCGATGCGGGGCTCGAACTCACAGACCGCATGATCATGACCTGAGCTGAAGTCGGATGCTTAACCAACTGAGCCACCCAGGAGCCCCTATAGCATTTTTAAATTAGGTACTAAGTTGTCATAAAAAATAATTGATCTGTATTTACCTGTCATAAAATTTACAGATGAAAAAGTACAGTCATACACCCACGTTGTTCCAAACCTACTTGAAAGTTTTACAGTAACTGCATCAAATGGCAACTTTTTCAAAAAAAAGAGTTGTGGGGCTCCTGGGTGGCTCAGACGGTTAAGTGTCCAATTCTTGATTTCAGCTCAGGTCAAAATCTTGCAGTCATGAGATCGAGACCCCATCAGGCTCCTTGCTGAGCATGGAGTCTGCTTAAGATTCTTTGTCTCTCTCTCTCTCTCTCTCTCTCTCTCTCTCTCAACCCCCCCCCCCTTACATACTCTCTCTCTCAAATTAAAAACAAAACAAAAAAAGACTTGTGCCCTTTCTTCCTTTGTCATTGGCCTACAGTATATCGCTTTCAAGTGTACAAAATAAGGATTGGATATTTGTATACATCGTGAAATGGTTACCACTGTAAGTCTAATTACCTACCATTTGTCCCCTTACAAAGTTAATATAATGTTATTGACTACATGCCCCAAGGTGTACATTACATCTACTTTTAAATTTAAAGTAAAATTAACATTTAAAAATCAGTCCCTCAGTCACACTAGCTATGTTTCAAATGCCCCATAGCCCAACGTGCAGCTCTTGGTTATTATATTGGACAGTGTAACTCTGCTATAATTAGTGTGTGGGTCTGTCTTCCCCACTAAATCAGACCATGTCCAATTTACTATATCGTCCCCAGCGCCTAGCTTAAGGTTTGGCATGTAAATGGTGTTTTATGAAAGCTTGTTGACTAGATAAAGAGAAGTGGGAGTCACTTGACTCTATCCCAGCATTAAATCAAGAACATTCTCTATGAGGAATGTAAGAGGCACCCACAAGCACAAGCCTCGTGAAAACTCATTAAGGCTTCGTACATTTGATTTGTCACTGATCCCTTTAATAGTAAAAATTACTTTGACATGCTATTCCCCCTTTTTGTGCCCTCACTGTTCTTTTCTCCTTCCTACGCATTTATGCGTATTCCTCACAATTAGCAGTTCATAATATGTTTCCACATTCTCCAGTTACCTTCTCTGTCTAGGTCTTGCCTTCTGAAATTATATGTTAAGCTTCTGGAGATAGATAGACATCATTCCTTGTACTTTGTAACCATCGTCACACACACGGCTTAACGGCAATAATAAAGTACAAGAAATAAACATATGACACATAATCAATTCTCAGATGCCTTCTTTCTTGGCAAAGCCTTTCCCGATCGATCCTAGAAGCCCAGCCTCTCGGCACTCACATTCACACGACTGTCTCTGCATGGCCGGGACCAGGGACCTCCCGACCCCACCGGTTCCTCTCTATGTGCTACAGTGTGTTTTGATGCTTCACCCCCAAGGAGGTGGGATGTGGTATCCAATCTTGGAATAGCCGGTATATTACTTAGTAGCTGTGCTCTCATCAAAATGGACCCTTCTGTTCTGTGCACCGTGGGCACCCTGGCAGGACAGCTGAAGCTGAAATGGGACGGCCAGGGTGTCCCGGGGCACTCTGCACAGGTGGTGCCCTGGCAGGGCGGCTGGAGCTGAGGCAGGTGTGGGCCAGGAGATCCCTGAGCTCTCTGAACAGAGGGTACCCTGGCGGGTCAGGCTGGAACTAAAGCGGGTTGCCGGAGGGGAGGGGGCTGAGGGGATGGGCAAAACAGGCAAAGGAGACCGGGAGATACGGGCTTCTGGTGACAGCAACAAAAGAAGCAGCATAGGGAATACAGTCAAGGCAGACGGTGTAGCAGCATCGCATGGCGACAAATGGTAGCTACACTTGTGGTGAGCGTGGCATCATGTACAAACTTGTCCAATCACTATGTTGTACACCTGAAACTAATGTAACGTTGTGCGTCAACTATACTCAAATAAAAAAATTTTTAGTTAAAAAAAAAAAAAAGAAGCCCTCTGTAGGCGTCACTTCCTGCCCCCATCTGCCACCTCCATCTCCCCCTACCTGCCATGGGATTCAGCAACACCATGACAGAAGAGAGCCCTGTAAGTGCAGAGATCTCTTTGGTCTTCTTAGTTACATCTCCCTACAGACAAAAACCCTGATTGATCAACGCACAAGTAAATTTCCACAAAGGGAGTTCTGGTAGGTCTACCTTTTATTCCGATGCGGCTTGCATAACAACACAGTAAACATTAACACAAAGGTGTCTTGGTGAAATCAGGCGTGGGGTTCCTCTAAACCTGTGTTGGTGATCTGCCTCTGTTGCTTGGATAGCTCCGTGATCGCCTCTCTCTCGGCAGGCGTGAACTTGGGGGTTAGCGTCACAGCATCATAATCAAATTCTTCATCAAGTGAGAAGGGCTGAACTTCATCTCCAAGTACCTGTAAAAGGTAACAAAGGAGAAAAATCCTACAATCACTGTAAACAAAGAAAAAGTTGAAAACATAAACTCCCTATTAATATTTAATTCCACTTTTTTTCAGACTTCAGCACTCTCTGCTGATTAAGATGTTTTTAAGTAAAGGAATACATTCAATTATTCAATTTGACCTAATTTAAGTCTCTTGATATGCCCCATTTGTACCATCCTGAATCTGAATGAATATCATTAACTAATTCCACCCACGGCAAGAATCAGAAAGTCTCTCTTGCACACATTCATTACATTTTTACCACTTGTAGTGTTAGGGCTAGAGGCATATGGAAAAACTAAGAGTTACATTAGAGAAGATACACCTTAAGATTTTGATCAACCTTAAATACACCTTCACCATTTACTAAAAAAAAAAAACAAAAACAAAAAAACCTTGTATCAGTAAAGTAATTTTCAAGTTTATTTATTTTGGAGAAAGAGACAGCATGAACAGGGGAGGGGCAGAGAGAGAGTGACGGAGGAAGAATCCCAAGCAGCCTCCGCACTGTCAGTGCAGAGCCTGACATGGGGCTCCAACTCACAAAACTATGAGATCATGACCCAAGCCAAAATGGCTAGCCAGACGCTTAATCAACTGAGCCACCCAGGCAACCCTCAAAAAAACTATTTTCAAAGATAAAAATACTCTACACTCAATAAACTTACTTCTCCAGAAACTACCTATAATTCTTGGGCCAATAACAGTGGGATTAGTGTCACCTTTAAAAGTCCAGGATCCCTTTTTCCTACCAAGAATTTTTAAAAATTGTTTTAATGTTTATTTATTTTTGAGAGAGAGAAAGAGAGAGAGAGAGAGAGGGAGGGAGGCACAGAATGCAAAGCAGACTCCAGGCTCTGAGCTGTCGGCACAGAGCCCGATGTGGGGCTCGAATTCACAAATCGGGAGATCATGACCTGAGCCAAAGTCAGACCCTTAACCGACTGAGCCACCCAGGCGCCCCAATTTCCTACTAAGAATTTTTAAAGTTTTGCAGAATTTATCTACAAGTCAGAGTAGCTGCAAAGTGATGTAATAATTTTGCACCTATTTATTCATAATCTGTGAGTTTTAAAGACTTCCTAGAGGAAGGTAGATAAAGAAGCATATTTTCCAATAAACAAAAAGAGAATACCTTAAATCACATTGTATCACCCCTTAAAGAGACTCTCCAAAAGCAAATGGTGTGTGATACAATGAAATTATCTAGCACCTCTGTGTTGTAATATGTATGGTGATACTAAAATAATTGAAAACCATGGTTTATGGAAGAATGAAAAAAAATGCCCTGAAGCTATAATCAGCTTTAAATATTCTTGCATTCAAAATTATCTCATTGAGTGGATTTTGCAATGTTCTTGAAAATAGAGCACATAGCTGAGAAGCTATGTGCTGTTATTAAAGGTGAAATAAAAAGCATGAAAAGTGGCCATCCCCCATCTATTTGTCAAGCTGCGTCTCGGGGTTAGGGGTGCAGTGCTCACAGCAATCACATAGCTATCTACCATCCTTTCTCAGTAAAACCAGAAAGAGAACAAATTTCAGAGGCTTGTTCACTTCCTCCTCATTTCAAAGTGTCTGCGTGCTCTCCTGACAAAAGTAATGATGGGAGCTGCTGCTGAGTGAGTTCCCAGCACGTGCCAGCCCCAGTACCAGGAACGGTGTGGGCATTAGCAGGAATAAGGAATCTTCTGAAGCTCTCAAAGATTAAGCCACTTGCCCAAGGCTACACAATTAGTAAGGGAGAGAAGCAAGATTTGAATCCAGGGCAATCTGCTTTCGCTAAATCTTTACCTTTTCAACAAAAATACCAGCAAGAATTAACCTTGAGCTTTTCACTAAGCCAAGTCATACATAGCTCTTTGGAAGAAAAGAATTTTTCTAAATAAGCTAAGCAATTCTCAGAGCTTATCATCAAAAACACATTCAAGGCTCCATGTAACACCGTGACTGCCTTTAAGAGAGTGGCTGTACACAGGAAACCCGTGAGTCTGCGGCGTAAGTGGATCTGTCCATTTTGGTCAGTTTCTAAGGTTAAGTTAAAGCGACAGAGTAATAATATTGTTAAGAACATCTCAAATGAGGAAACGTATAAACAAACAATGCTACAATATGTTCATTTCCTGAACATCAGCATCCCTGTCATTTCTACTTCTACTCAGCAGTGAGCACTGGGGCTGGCAGGCCTGCCACATTGCGTCCTGAGCTGATTCCAAAAGATCCTGGGAGAGGACGAGGAGGAACCCCATCTCTACCATGTATCCAGTCTGACGGGATTCTTGCTGCCCTTTCATGCCCGGTTAAAGTCCTGGCACCTACTTGTCCACCAAGTTTCAGGCTGCAAGTACCCATATGGGCCCACACCTCTGGGAATTTGAAACCTCCACCCCCACTCTGGTCTCTAAAACCTACCTAGACCTTACTGGCCACTCTCACTAGATTAGAGGTTGCTTTGTCTTCACCCACCTCCCCTTGAGGCTGGAATGCGGTTTCAAAGAAGACAAATCCCTTTGCTGTGCTAAAATCCCAGTGATGCCGGACCATACTCCTCACATTCCCCCTACATAACATATAAACAACTCTCATGTTCCCACCCCACTCCCCTTGAGTTGCTCACTCCATAAACATTTATTGAATGTGTAATATGTATTAGATATGGGGAACACAGGATGAAAACAGCAAAACCTGTGTCCACAAAGTTTCCTAACTTCAGGGAGAAGACAGAAGTAAATGGATGATTTCAACATCATGTGCCATGCTCTCCAACAGAGCAATGCAAAAAAAGTTAGAGAAGCACAGAGGGGAAGTGCTGAAGCTTACCTTACCCTCAGCTGAGTATTGCCACTCTCTGAAAAATCCTACTTGCCTCCCTACTCATCACCCCACTCATGACCCACCTTGTATTAGCAACCCAGACAGAGTAAGGTTCACATGGTGGACATCTAGACTCTCTGATAAGGGCTCACTCCCATAGCCAACTTAGCTCTACATATGGTCTAACCCATCACCTCCCCATTCCCTAAGGTCCCAACATATCTTACAGCCGTAATATCCAACATTACAGTACGAGAGATGTAGAAGTTTATCCTTAAGTGGGAAAATCTTATTTTCCTTTAAGGTGTTTTTTTTTTTTTAATACACAAATTTTTTTCTGTCATGGAGCATGATTCTTTTCATCAATCATTTGGTACTAGCCAAAACAAGAACAAAGAATAAAGTTTTCAGCTAGTCAATAAATTTGATGCCAAGGCAAGAATTATTCATTCATAATATGCTTAAAGCTATAAAAGCATACTTAAAAATATAAATTTCTTCACCTGGAAGCTGAATTATTAATGGTAGCTGTTGTTAGATTAATACCCTAGGCAATCAGTTAAATGCTGAAATATAAAAGCAAGAAACCAAGAATATCAATAATTGTTTTAAAAAAGAATGGAATAATTTCATATTTCCAATGCCAAAATGTGATGATACTCCAGACATTTTAAACCATTTGGGGATATCACTGTAATGTGGCCAGTATATCCCTGATTCAAAAACGTCAGAGGATGAGCCTCCCGTAGTCATTCAGATAGTTTCCATTCTTTCCACAAACACTATGTTCCTATTAAATTCTAGGCTTTGTGCTCGGTGCTGAAGATACAAAGATGAAGACTTGTACGAAAGCACAGAGAAAGGAGATAGACATATGAACAAGTTAGTACAGTAAAATACAGTAAGTACAAATCACATAGTTAGGGAGTATTGGGAACAGAGAAGGGATACCTAACACAGCACAGACTGGAAGGCAATGGGAAAGAATCAGAGACGGCTTCCTGGCAGAGGTGATATCTAAACAGAATCTTAAAGCGTCATATCAGTTAACAAGGTTGAGGGAAGAAGAACTTTGCAGATAAGGAGAGTTCTAGGGAACAGGCCAAGGAAATAAGATACAAAGTCTCACATGTGAGGCTCTGCAAGTAGTTAAGTGTTAATGTTAAGGTAGAGAGAAGCGAGAGACAAAGGTGGTGCCAGATCATGATGGTCGAATATGCTGTTTATCCTAGAGATGATGAAGTCACTGAAGGATTTTTTGGAAGCAAAGTAGATACTTGGTCATCTATGCATTTCAGATAAATTCCTTCATGCATTCAAATTTTAACTGAGCACCTATAATGAGACAGTGCTGGACAGATAGGTCTGCACAAAACAGAAAGATGCCCGGCCCTCTTGGGAGGTTATATCTAGATAGGTTACTTTGAAGATTACAAAGGGTAGATCTGGAGTCAAGGAGGCCAGTTAGGAGCCTGCTGAAGCAGTCCAGGCAAGAGATAATGAGAATAGGAAGCTGAGAGCCGAGATGTGAAAATATCAGAAAGTAAAACTGGCAGCACTCGATGACTGATCTGGATGCGGAAAGGGAAGGAGGGGATGAACGCAAGGAGGCAAGCAGGTAAAGAAAGGTAAGCTGTTTCTAACGTGCTGATTTGAAGGCACCTAAAGGAATCCAGATAGAGATAACAACAGGCAACTGAAAACAGAAACCTGAAGCTCAGAAAAAGGTCTGAGGATACACATTTGGAGACACAAGCATAGAAGGTAGTAACCTAGAGATAAATGGATTCACGTATGTAAGTGGGAAGAGGTTTGGCACAGAACCCTGAGCAACACCAACTCATCGGGGATGGATGCAGGGAAACCCCCAACGGAGGCAGGGAAAGAACAAACAGAAATGCACAGAGCATCTGCGGAGAACCAGAAGGACCACAAGGGCCCGGCACAGTGGAGTGAGAAGCCCAGTAGAGAGGTCGATTAAAATAAAGCTGGGAAGTGTCCATTGGGATCTGGCAGTCAGAGAGTAATTGGGACCTTTATTCTGAATACACTCCAGCACGTGCTGGAGCAAGGACACTCTGTGGTAGACTGAATGAGGCATGATGGGAAAGGAAGCAGCTAGGCTAATAGTTTCTCAAGTCTAGATGAGAACAGGAGAACAGACCGTAGCCAAAGAGGGCCTGAGGTAAAGAGAAGGCTGCTCTTCTTTTCCTTTGTTTCATTTCATTCCATTAAGGATGCGAGAGACTTGAACACGTTTACATGGTGAGGAGAATGGACCAATAGAGAAGAAAAGAGAGAAGGGCCTTACCATGTTACCACACCAGAAAAAAAACACTCTCAGTAGGTAGTGAGGTTTTTTGTTTATTTATTTGTTCATTCAACATTTATTGCGTGTCTACTGTATGCATAGCCCTGAACTCGGCACTAGTTTCTACCTTTTTGCTTTTTAATGAAAAGTAAGCTTACGAAGACACACATCAGTGAATTCAAAGTTCTCCAGGACGAGGGTCACATACGTAATTCAAAGCAGATGTATACTGCAATTCAGAAGACATCACTGTGATCTTCTAAATGGCAGCTTTTAAAATACAGTAGGGGGGGCGCCTGGGTGGCTCAGTCGGTTAAGCGTCCGACTTTGGCTCAGGTCACGATCTCACGGTCTGTGAGTTCGAGCCCCCATCGGGCTCTGTGCTGACAGCTCGGAGCCTGGAGCCTGCTTTGGGGTTCTGTGTCTCCCTCTCTCTCTGCCCCTCCCCTGTTCATACTGTCTCTGTCTGTCTCAAAAATAAATAAACATTAAAAAAATTTTTTTTCTAATACAGTAAAAGTTGCAATTCTATTTATGTATTTCAGCTCTTGGCTACTGTGGCACACACTGGGAATTCTCTTCCTTCAGGTTAGGTTCATTTCAGGGTTCTAAGCTATAAGACTCCACGGTTTTTGGATTACAAACTGAAATTCTGATTTATTTCAAAGAGAATAATTTGTGCAATGGAAAACCAAATCCCCTGCTACTAAAAAGAAAACAACTGTGAATTAAGTTATTAACTTGTTATTTTTGCCTAAGGAGCTGAGAGAAATATGTGGATTTGAGGGGTCTCATTTCAAATCTAATTGAAATCTTTTTTGTAGCCTCTCAGGGAATAGAATTTGCACACTGTTAGAAAACAGCTAGTTTCCTTACAATTGCTCATGTGACTTATTCTAAGAGAGACCCTGTTACAGGAGGAATCATTTTCATTCAGATTACCACACAGGCAAATTAAAGAAAACAGGACTAATGCTCAAATCAATAAGAGCAGCATTTAGCTGTAGGCTATCTTACAAAGTAATATAGTAAATAAACCGTCTTTATAGGTGAAAAAATTTAGAGTCTCATTATGCACTAGAAAAACAGGAGATCTCCCGTTGAAATACTACAAAAGTTTCTTCTATGAGGAACAACACACAATTTTTCATCTTCCTAATGTGGATTTTTTTTTCATCTATAAAGCTGTCCAAAATTCATCAAAACAGAATAACTAAGGCAAGAAGGTATTCACAAATAGAATATAGAAGGTTCTTGGAAAATGTTTGACTAGAAGGGGGAGATGCGTATGTGTAAAACCTGGTAATTTGTGGCCTCTTCTTAGGCAATTAAGAGGAAGTCAAGACATCCAGGCTACACTTTTGTCTTTTGAGACTGAAGTTACAGAAAGCAGCTATCATCTCGGGCCCACAGTAGTCCCTTGGTAGGTCCTTACAAGACATATTTGCTAGAAAATGATTCTTATGATCTTTTCTGGAAGTAGGTGCCTTAAAATAAGATTAAGACTGTTAAACCAAGGTACAGTTGATACAGCATTATGATTCTAGACAGTTCTGAAAAGTTTCTCTAACTAATAGTGGTTAGAAATAAAAATCCCAACCAAGATATTCCAGATATTTGAAAAACAGCAGAAGTTCTTCATCTATGTTTCAGAAGTTTGCCAACACAGAAATTGTTCAGAGCATTTTGATTCCAACATTTAAAAAATGTTCACATTTTCTGGGAAGAAATCTATATTCCTTTTAAAGATACAATCATGTACAAGGTTTTAACTTGCATTTTTACTGGCTATTTGATAGATTCTAGGAATCATTCCGTTTCTGTAACCTATCAACTGAAACAATTTTATAACAATTCCTCTATGGCACTAGGTGCCATGACCACTGGCTGGTCCAGTCATTTGTATGGTCACAACTGAAGTCAAGAGTGTGAACAAGTCTTTAAAAGAAACTGATTCCTGCCAGAAATAACATTGCAATTTTATTTCTTATTACTCAGAGAAAGCAATCTGTAATCCAAAAAGCACATTGAAAAGTGGCTGTCCCTACCAGTTTATCTGGTACCAATTTGGGGATTTAATATAAGCCTGCAAGCATCCTAGACATACTTTTGTGCTGTCAGTAAACTAAAGTTCCATGAGAAAGAGGCAATTTAAAATTGAAATGTGTGGACTACCTTTGACTGAACAACTGCTTCCATAACAGAATATCTTCAGGTGACAAGACTAGTAGTAACTGAATGATCAAATAATCAATCCCTAGGGGTTTTATTAGGAAGCAATAATAAAGAGCCCTTCACAGCTTCTTGTACCTGATACTCTTTGATGCTGGAGTAAACAGGGTGATAAAGGTCCTTACCCAACATCACCGGCAGCCTTGGTTAGTGCATGTTTGTAAAGTATATACAGAAGAGTTGCAAAGGATGACAAAAGACGACTTTCTAGATGTACAAGTGGGAGAGACATGTGGCAGGGACGTCATTCTCCCTGATTGTGAAGGACATGACTGGATGACCCTTCCCAACACCCCCTGTGCTCGATAGGAACATGTAACTAACGGTGACCAGGGGAATATGACAATGTCCTAAGGCATAGTGGGGATCCAGAGAGAAGGAAACTGGGCCCCTGATGGCCCCAGGGAACAGTGCCAAATGCTCACTTTAAAAGTTTTCCATAGGCTGTTGTATGAGAGACAAAGTTCTATCTCTTTTCAGCCACTTCATTATTGTTGGGATTCTCTGCGACAACAGCTTGGCCTTCCCTTAATGACCAGCAGATGTTTACAGGACCTTGGAAACAAGAATAAAAAGAAAATGGCCAGTCCAGAACAAAAAAGAGAGAATCTATTGCATAAGCACCTCCCCCAGGTAACACTGTCCTATAGCACGACACACATCATGATATAAAAATAGTTTCCACATAAAAACATAATAGCTCTCAGTAATTTTTAAATTTTTTCTAATGTTTATTTATTTGTAAGAGAGAGACAGAATGCAAACAGGGGAAGGACAGAGAGGGAGACATAGAATCCAAAGCAGGATCCAGGCTCTGAGCTGTCAGCACAGAGCCCAATGCAGGACTCAAACCCATGAGCCTCTAGATCACCACCTGAGCTGAAGTCAGAGGATCAACCTACTGAGCCACCCAGGCACTCTGCTCCCCCATGTTTAAAAAGAAATACACCTATTAGAAATAGATGGCACTCAGAGTGATGCAATTAAGCAACTTGAATTTAAAATTTTTCCAAATCTAAGAAAAATTAAAAGGCACACAGATATAGCAGCATTTCTCTGAAAGGACGAGTTACAAACTCAAGGCAATTTCAAAACTGATTGAACTCCCCGTGGGGTACCTCTTCCATTTCTTTGTGTGCCCCTCTCCCAGTGGGCACCAGCTCGACCTCAGGGGTGAAGGGCTGGGCCACGGAAGGAATGTAAGGTGGAACAGGTGTGTGGACGTCCTCCTCCACTTCTCCTGGAAGCAGCAGCAGATCTGTGAGATACAAAATATTTCACCACGTTCACAATTGACCTAAATTACCTAGAAGCCTACAATAGCCAAAAGAATGAAGCAGAAATGCTCAAGTAAAGTCATTCATTTCACAATGCTTGTGCTCATTTGGGGACTGACCCAAGGGATTCTCTTTTCCATTAAACAGAAGTCATTGGTGCATTTATTTTTATCTTATTGTCCCAAAGTTACATTCCATCCAAAAGGTCTGGGAGAAGTATCGTTTACAGGGTGACTTGCTCATGCCTCTCACCCCCAAGCCAGACTCTACCTCTACAGTAAAGTAAGGCAAGAAGATGCCTACCTTTGCCTCATTTCCCTGTATTTTCCTAAGGGATGGAGAGACAGGAAATGGGAGGGCTGATTTCATCCCATAACACTCTGGCAATATTTCAGACTCTGTGTGTATTAAAAAAAAACAATGATGCCAGAAGGAAAGAGTTTTGACTTTCAGCAGAAAAATGAAACACTCTGTCATAGACAGGATTCATGGTCTGATTTTCGATATTGCAAACAACAACTTGTTTCCAGCTTGTTCAGCACCATGACAAGAATTCAATAACCAATCTGGGTTTTTTGATCTATACGTTGTAAGTGGGTATGTTGCCTTATTTTTGCATGTGTGACAGAACATGGATGCATCATGGTCAGATCTTCCACAATTTTCTCTAAAGAGGACACACACACACAAAAAAGGGAAGCACACCAGGCCTCCTGGTCAGCGTAAGCTTTCATAGGACCAGAAGGGCTGCTGGAGCTAGCCAATAACTTGCAGCTGGCTCAGGATGACGCTGCCTGCTACTCCATGATGATCCTAATGAAGACACTAATTAAGTTCTCAGTGGAAGTGATTAATTAACAACAGGCATGCCGTGGCTGTTGCCAATGGCAGCTGCCAATAGGGAGACAATCAAGCAGGTATTAATATTCAAAAACCGAAACTTATTTGAAATACATCTCTCACCACTGCAGATATCACCTTCACAAAACGTGTAACTACAAAGTTCTTAGGACTCCAGCAACAGAACACAGCCTAGAAACTGAACACGTGTGGGTAGGGGTATGGTGAAGAAGGTACCTTTGCTGTGATGAATTACGGGAACCTTAAAATAGGACCTAATTAATTAGCAGAAATAAAAACAACAGTAATAGCCAACACTTATATGAAGTGACATTTCGTATGCATTAATTCAGCTAATCTTCCCAACAGTGCTATTACTTCCTGTTTTCCAGGCAATGGGCTTCAAGCATTGAGAGTAACCTCATTCAAGGTGCCACAGCTAGAAAGTGTCAGAGCTGGACAGTCTGGCAGCACAGCCCAGACTCTTAGCCCGCTATGTCACATGATGAACTGCTTCTAAGCAAGCATTTTCATTACATAAATTATTTAAGTCTATCAGATGATACGTCCAAACTCAGAGCCAAGAAATGTCACTACTATAGCACATTAGCATGGTTACATTGAAACATTTTATACCCGGAGAAGAAGCATTTTTAAACTCAATCAGGTTGACGGAAAGATTGGCTTTCTAATATATCCATTTATGAGCTCAAAGCCAGCTGCCCGCATTGATCTCCCTGGTGGAACTGCCTACGATGGATACAAGGCTGGTCGGGGCCTGCCAACAACAAAGGCAAGCAGAGGAGGGTTCAGGCCTCTTAATGTGAAAACCAGTAACCACCAGACCCACTGGCTGCCAGCGCAAACATCAGTTCAAATGTGAATCAAAATCAATTCTGTTTTCGGAGCTATTTAAAATCTGATTGACAATATTATGCGCCAAGGAAGACAACTCTCTAATTCCTATGCTGAAACTCTTTGCCTTCCTAATATGTTCACAGAGAAAGTAGGATTTCAACAAAAATGGTTTCTTTCATAAAGATTCTACTGCCATGGAAACAATTCTCTCAAAACAATAAGGTTCGGTTTCCTCCGAAAATGCACAAATGCATATTCACTGATGCCTAACACAGCACCTTACACATAGCAAATTCTCAACAAATACTTGAGATAGGAAATGAATTCCCTGCATCTCGACTTTTAAACTGAACAGAAAATATCAAGAGTCTGTCTACCAATAGGACACTGTGGATGATGTAAACTGTATATAATCCTTCCCCACAAAAAATAAATTTTATTAGAGGGGTAAGATTTTCATACATAAAATCAATCCGAGAATAATTAAGGACAAAATTGAACAGCTTTAACCCTAAAGAGGACAGATTTATAGAAGAATGAAACTAATACATACAGAAATAGTCTGGTAAGGCATATTTTAAGAAGGCTATCTTATCTTCAGCCATTTTAAAATCATAGGTAAGTTACATTCTCTTGGGGGGAAAATGATTGTATTCATTGATGGGAGGAAATGGAATTTCTGAAGTTCTCACTCTCTAAAACTGAAATGCTTCGTGAAACTTAATCCGATCTTATTAATGGTTGTTTCTGAAACAACCAAAGGCCTTGTTTTCATCTTCACTAAATACCACCATCTTGGCTCATGTGCATTGTAGAATCAAGGCATCTCTCAAAAGCAAATCTCGATGTCATAGGGCAAGACGGGTTGAAAACATTCCAATATCTTCTTTCTCAACTAAATGATAAGAATTTCAACATGTACAAACTGTGTGTTGATGCCATGTGTCCTTCCATATTAAGCCAATAATCACAATTCAAAAACTATAATCACATAGTCTAGTACAACATTAAAAAGTAAGCAATCTAGGGACACCTAACTGGCTCAGTTAAGCATCTGACTCTTGATTTCAGCTCAGGTCATGATCTCACAGTTCATGGGTTCAAGCCCCACGTTAGGCTCTACGCTGACAAAATTCTCTCCGTCTCTCTCTGCCCCTGCCCCACTCATGCTTGCTCTCTATCTCTCTCTCAAAATAAATAAATAAACTTAAAATTTTTTTTAAAAATTAAGCAATTTACCTGACATCTGATCATTTAGATAATTTTCAATCTGCCTGGCATATATATATTTTTTAAGTTTATTTATTTGTTTTTGGAGAGAGAGTTGGACGCTTAACTGACTGAGCCACCCAGGCGCCCCTGCCTGGCATATTAATAAGAATTAACCAATTTGTTCCTTTGTTGCCATGTAGAAATGGCCAAAATTTTCTGAAAATTTGGGCAACCCCCAGATCAAAGAGAATATAGATAAGAACTGCTTTCAGCACATAGTTTTTGGCTATGATAGTCCATCTCACTGGTTCTTGTTCTTAAACATTTTTGAAGACCCCAAAGAGTTGTTTTGTTTATGTGGGTTAGATCTTATCAACATTCACCATATTAGAAATTAAAACTGACAAATTTATACATACTTATTGAATTAGTAACAATAATACTATTACATAGTAAAATAAATATTTTTATGAAAAATCTCTTTTCCAAAAATAAGGAAAATAGTGGGAAAGAAAGCATTGTTTTACAATTTCAAAATTTGTAAATGTCTGTCTTAAGAGAAAAAAAACTACGTTTTATATTCGCTTCTGCATTCAATTTTGGAATACACTCTTTCTGTTTAAGTAAATGAAGAAAATCTAGTCTCATGGAGATATGTAGTTGGAAAAGAGAGGAGTACTTTAATAGCCTTTTTATATAATTGTGGATATTCGTCTTTGATGCTATACCAGATCTTGACAAATGATAACGTTTTTAAAAATAGTTTCAGTGTGCAATCTGAAACTATTTCAGTGAATTTTTCATACTGTTACATTAAAATTCATTGGTCTATCTTACACACTGAATGGATCTTTCTCCTATGCATAATTTTATAACATCATAAATTGGTCATTTGGAAAATATTGGTTCACTGTTTATGTAGATCTTCCAAATGTTGACACATTTCATTATACAGTATAAAAATCACATTAGTTAGCATTACGAACTTTATCAGAAAAGCCTTTAGATATTGGGAAGCTGTCAAGCTCACGGTACTAGCTACAAGTTTTCCAAAAATGAATTTTCACTGGATCCATTGCCAATTTTATCATTGGTCATGAACACTACCAGTTGTTTTTCTTGAAGGCTCACTTCATTCATTTTTGAGAACTATAGTTTGTCTGTCATTCTTTGAAGTAAAAATGTTGTTCCATGAAAGAAAGAGAAAAACTAGTTCAGCATACACTCAATCACACAAGCATTTTTCCATGAGACAACGACTGTATTTCAGAATGCAGAAGTGCTTTTTGCATACTTGCTATTTCAGCACACAAAACACTAAAAAAGGTGTAGTCAAGGATCAAGATTTAGCAAAACTAATCATTTTTACCACTTCATCAAAAACATTGTCAATGGAAACTAGCATTTATTTGAACTACAAATCCATGGCAGTGAAGATTACAATGACTACTAGTATAGTTTTGTGCCACTACTTTGACTTTCAATAAGCTACCAGAATCTTTACCCACACTGCTTTTGCTACATCAATGCAAACATCAACACATTTGCCCTTCAGACTTTGGGATTTCCCTAGGAGTTCCCAGACCACATCCCTAGGGGTCTGCTGGTCTAATGAATGTCTGTCCAACTCTCCCACCAATAACACTGGAAAAGCTGGATAAGTTACCAAAAAATCAACTACTTAAAGGCATTGGCAAGCTACCAGGGCAGCCTGGGACTTGAGGTGCCAAGATCCTAGAGAGATGGAACATACTGAGAAATGAGTCCAACAGTCCAAAATGCTTTTCAACTGATGGCATTTACTGATTTGCAAGCAGAAGCTGAGAAGCCAAAAAGCAAAGGAGAGAGAGGCTAAGATGCTGAGAAGCTTAGCAGAATTTACCAACAGAGTTACAGTGCAATGAAGATAAAATTAGAGTTTAGGGCCTCCAAACAGGAGAGGCTGTGATTTATTTGTAGGGCTATACCCTAGGAATAAGCAAGCACTGGAAGTAAAGCAGCCCCCACAAGGCCTTAAACCCAATCCTATATCATCCTATCCCTAGATTGGATTAAGGTAATCTATTACTAC